CCTGTGGATATGTGACATGGTAAATGGTGCACTGCCTGCATGTGGATCAAGCAGATTCTACTTGGAGTAGTTTTACCTCTGCACTGTGTAGGTAACCTTCTAGTGATCGGAGGGCATTAGAAAACCCAAGTTTTAGGTGAAACACCATAGGGTGGTGTTTATTTACAGAATATGCAAGCTGAGACTGCTGTAACTGAATGTAAGCACTCTGGAAATACTCTGCTTTGCTGATGTGATTGTCTTAAAGTACAGCAAACGAACCAAAATAAGTAAAACTGGTCCAATGGCTTAACTGTCTTTGAACCTTTCTTAAATGCTTGCAGTGGCTGAGACTTGATGGTGTTTCTTGCGCTTGGAGCTCTAATGAAGAGGAATTATTTTCTCCATTGATTTTTCAATCTGTTAGAGAGAATAATTCCCTTTTTGGTCCCTTTGTAGAGTGGCTGGGAGCATAAATACCTGCTCACTTCTCAGAGCCCTCCAGGCTAAGACCAAGGCTTGTTCCATCAGGGAAAGCTGTTCCGACAAGGTTCTTAAGCAGAAAGCCTGCTGAATTGTGAAGCTCCGTTCATGTGCTCCTTGGGCCCATCTGCATTGCTGAAAGTGTTCTGGACAAACCATTGTCTTTGCTTCTAAAACCCAGAGATACTGATGATGTCAGTCATGTGAGACTTAAAAATGTGAAGTTTGTAGCTTTAACTTTTTTTGTAACAAAGAAATTAGCAACACTGGCATAAAGTGCTGACTTGAAATGCTATTTTGTAAGATCTGGCTGTTTGTATATAATAGTGTTGGGTCATTAGTTTGTATATGTATGAAACAGTAACTTTTATTGCATTCCTCTGAGTTTGATACAGGAGATTTTGTTTGATCTTTCTCAAATACCTTGCCTTATTTGTTCTAAGGTGCAAATAAACTGTCTTTACCTGAAAGCATCAGTGCTGTGACTCATATTTATGCATTAAACCACTCTGGTGTATTATTGCTTATGAGGACAAGTTTTAACATGGCATGCCTCTGGTCAGCCTGTGGTATACAAAGTTCTGTAGGAGCACACAAGCAGTAAACCCGTCAGATACGCGTTTTTATACAGGCAGCTCTTTGGCCTTAGAACATTGCTGATTCTGTACCTCAAGAGGAATCCCAGGCTGGTTTGTGTTGGAAGGGACCTTAAAGCTCACCCAGCTCCAACCCCTGCTACGGGCAGGGACACCTTCCACTAGAGCAGCTTGCTCCAGGCCCCTGTGTCCAACCTGGCCTTGAGCACTGCCAGGGATGGGGCAGCCACAGCTTCTCTGGGCACCCTGTGCCAGCGCCTCAGCACCCTCACAGGGAAGAGCTTCTGCCTAAGAGCTCATCTCAGTCTCCCCTCTGGCAGGTTAAAGCCATTCCCCTTGGCCTGTCCCTACATCCCTTGTCCAAAGCCCCTCTCCAGGTTTCCTGCAGCCCCTTTAGGCACTGGAGCTGCTCTCAGGTCTTCCCTGGGCCTTCTCCAGGCTGCCCCAGCCCAGCTCTCTCAGCCTGGCTCCGGAGCAGAGCTGCTCCAGCCCTCCAATGTGAGAGCTTTGCTCCAGTTCAGGGGCAGGCTCATGTGCTGCCGGCTCCATGGCACTTCACCAGGACACATCATGGACAGTTTGGCCAGTTTCCCCGCAGCCAGGAGCATCCTCAGCCCTTCCTGGAGCTGCAGACCCAGGAGGTTCGTTTGCCCCAGAGAGTGCCCAGCAGATAGGCACGATGAGCTCTGCCGTGGCTGTGTGCTGTCTCTGCTCTGTCACTTCACACTGCAGCAACCTCGCCGCGCCTGCAGTCGGGTTTGGGACTAGGTACGTGTGAGTTTATCAGCCTCCCTTCGCACCAGGTGAGGCTGGAGGCTCACACTCCGTACCCTCGCTGACTGGCTGCGCTTTCAGCTTTCTAGCTTAGACAAAGATGAAGCTGACAGTGAGTGGGAGCTGCCTTCCATGGAGAACTGCTGGGTTCTACGTGGTTTCCCTGAGCCGTTACTAAATCTGTCCTGGAGGGATGACTAACCGAAGCCCAGATCCAGAATTCATTCAGGAGTCAGCCTTGGTTTAGCAATCCCGGAAGAAACAAAATAGATGTGAGCTTTTAAATGTTAGAGGAAGGAGCGTGGCAACCAAAGGGAGGGAGACTGCGGGCACCTCTAGTAACCGGGAAAGCCTGCAGAGGTTGCATTCCTCAGCAGCACCACAGGCTGCTGTGGAGCCCCAGCACGAAGGAAGGGCTGCACTGCCAGCACTGCAGCCATACCAGGGGAGTGTTGCCCTGCACTCCCTTCATGCTGGAGTAGGGCACCTTCTTGCGCAACTGTTAGTCCCATACAAGTAACAAACCCAACACTGACAGGCAGCCATGAGCTGAGGCTGATGTTTAGCCAGCTTTTTCATCCCCAGGGCAGGGGGAAGTCAACTTTCCATGGAGCCTGTAGCACCAGCAGTTTTTCTCCTCCTCACATAATAATCATCAGTACTAAGGTCCGGGTATTGCTGTGCCAGTGTCCTTTATGCCCGGCTACTCTTTCCTACACCCTCCTTTTGCCCCATTTCCTCCTGTCCACAGGCCAAAAGAGTCTGAGCACGTGCTTCAGAGAAATGCTTTGAGTGCTGGCTGACAGCCCTGACCTGAGAGCGGGCAGCTTTTCATTGCATTTATCACCCTGGCAAAGCTCTGAAGAATCAAACCAGGGAATACCCATGGGCTCTTTCCACACTGGAAGTGACTTAATTGCCTTTTAAATTTAAGAGACAATTCAGGAATTACAAGTAGTGCTCATTCAATGCGGACCTGCTCAAGCACTGACTTTTGACCCCCTGAACTCTGCTGGGATAAAGATCCTGTGGGCAGGAGACATCCCAGAAACGCTGCCATTGAGGAGTCTTCCCTCCCTACGGAACCATCCCTTTAAAATCTCCCAGTTTTCCCATACCCAGCTGAGCGCACAGCCTATGCTCAGGGTCGTCACAGATTGGGAAGCTGGCAAAGGAAAAGAAGTTTTAAACCAAAGTAATGACGTTTACTTTGTCTCTTTGTGCAGAGGTGTCTAATTCTCCGCTGCACAGAAGAGCTTAATAAGGTCACTCCTCATTGACCATTCCCAGGAGGCAAAATTCCCTCTTTCATCAATCGCTTTGTGATTGTGGGGAGCAGCTTCTGTAGAAATAACCTGATGAAAGCGGGTAATTGATTTACCCACTGTGCCAAGAGAAAACGCAGCCACTCTCGGGAAAACTGATTAGGAATTAGCAAAAGAACATGAATTTCCTACTTGCCTTAGAAATAGCAAGTCAGACCAGTCCTGGCAAGCCATCGCTGCGCAGAAGTGCCTTCCTAACGCGAACGTGGGCTGTGATCACCCACTCCTCTGCTGCTGGGCACCTTCCTGCACCCAGTTCTTCCCTGCTCTGCAGAACTCGAGCTCTGCTAGATCTGCCTGCAGAGCAGTGGGAGGATTTTCCTGGTGCAGTTACTCAGAGCCATTCAAATCCTGATGTCTTCACCGAGAGCAGGAGCCTAAAAAAAGAAAACATCTTCCATGGCTTTCCCAAACCCGAGCTTGGAGCTCTCACACAGCGGTCCCTTCCAAGGGCAGCCCGGGGGCTCGTGGGATGTCCTTCAATGCCTTGCTTTGAACCCCCACGTTAGGGAAGTTTTTGCCTTGGAAAGATTAGCAGCAGGTGGGGCTTTGGGGGTTTTTTTAATGGAAAAACCCTCAAAAGGAATAAAGATTAAACTCTGTTTTCAGCCTTCCCCTCCTATCACATCTAGCAGAGGAATGTGCTTGACACAGGAAGAGCAGCAGTAAGTCTTCCCCTGCCCAGCCACCCCCCTGCAGACACACAGCCCAGAAACACCCTCCCATTTCAGAGCATCGGAGAGGCTGCGTCAGGAGCTGGTTCAACTTTCTCTGCTGCCTTCAGGATGAAGGAGGATAAAGCCAAAGGGGCACAAACTACACCCCCTGAAACAGTGGAGAACCAGCTCCCAGAGAGCAGCCACCCCCTTGCACATGCCGGTGGGATATCTGCTCTCTGCAGGGAACTGATGCTGGGCTTGCTCATCCTAGGAGAGATGCTCAGCCTCTGCTCCAAGGGCTTAAAACCCCCTGCAGGTGTCAAGGCCTTTCTTCCTTAGGCAGCCTGGTGCTGTGCAGTGCTCTCCTTAGGGCTCTTCTAAACCTTCCAAGGGGCTAAGGAACTTCTCAGAGCTACAAGCAGTGGTGGCCAGAAGCAGCCTGTGGTGATGTAGCTTTATCAGTGAGAGCCCTCACCTGCTGGTGACCGCAGTCCCTGGCGTGAGCAATTTGCTGGCTTGGACACTGGAAGCTGAGCTGAGCTTTGTCTTTGCAGCTGAGAGCCATTGGGAACACGCATACATCCTCCAGCCTCCTCCTGACAAAGGGGTGCCTGAACCGGTTAAGCAAAGGACTCTTGCTACTTGAGCTGTAAGCTGCATTTCCTTTGGAAACGGAGCCTTTTCTCCTTTTAGCCCCAGACATAACCCACGAGCCTGGGCATAAAATGAGTTTCTTTGTACAAGAGTGGCTATTAGGGGGAATAGCAACTGCTGCTCCTCGGCTCCCAGCACTGGTTTAGCTCTCACCGGCAGCTCAGCTCTCATGCCCCTGGGTGCTGCTGATCACAGTGTGTGTGCTTCTGCAGATTCTTGCTCTTCCTGCAGCCTGCTGCCTCCAACCAATTCCCTCGCATTCCAGGGATGTCCCATTCACTGGGCCTCCAAGGAGAGGGGTTATCCAGAATTCTCCATCAGGGACGGCTCCAGTGGTCCAGGCACAAAGACTATCACCCACCACTGGGACAGGGATGAGGCAGGGGCTGTATGAGTGGGAGCTCTACCGTGCACCAAGAGGGTGCTGGAGATGGCTCACAGGGATGGATTATCCCATCTGTTTCCCAGGGCTGCTTGCAGCAACCATGAGCCCAGCCCCACACCACCACGAAACAAAACCAGCGTGCAAAGCGGGTCACTTAGGTCTTTAATAAAATATACAGTATGCATCCCATGCATAGATAGAAAATTAATTTACATGCTCTTTATTATTTGCATAATGCTTTTTAATACATGTAATTCAGTCTTCACATTTTAATACAGTTTGCTACTGGAATACTTACGGAGAGAAGGGGAAACTCCTTCCTTTATTCAAGTAACAGTGCAGTGGGAGCTGGCTGGAGCAGACGATGCTGCTCACCAGTCCCAGCTTGCAGTAAGAACGAGCGCAGAGCGGACCACAGACTGTCACTACTGGAAGACTTGATGATGCCAGGAGGGTGAGCACCCCCCATCCCACACCACTGCTCCTTGGGGACCCCTCCCCGCATCCCACTGGGGTTCATGCTGGCACTGGTTTGTCTTTTCTTCCCTGTGATGAGCAGATGGCTACAGGCAGAGCCAGCACCACAACTGTGGCTGTGCCGAAAGCCAGCCAGAACAACCCATGGCAAACACCAGGATCCAGGAGCCTGGGGCCACCCTGCAGCCATCCACCTATTTTGGGGCTGATGGGGTGACTGCAGGGAGCACATTTCTCCTGCTCAGGACTGGCACTGCAATACAGGGTGTACTCCTCTGTGCACAAAGGAGCCACGAGTTTCCAAACAGAGAACGGGAGGTGAAGGGAAAACTCCATAGGGAATTAATGCTGTGCTGGGAGCAGCCCCCAGTGTGCTCAGACAGGCTGGGGATCCAGGCAGGAAGGGGGCCTGGTGCTCTGGGTGGATCTCCCTGCTGGCTGTGAGGTGCCCAGAGGCTGCAGTGGGGGAGCAGAGCAAGGTCCCCTCTGCCCTGGCCTCTTGCAGACATTGGGGTGCTCCCTCCCTGCAGAGGAAAGGCGAGAGCATCAGCACCCAGGGAGAGGTGATACCTGGAGCAGTGTGACCCCCTGCTTAGGCACTCCTGCCCCTGCCTGGCCCCAAGGCAGGGAGGGACGAGGCAGCAGAATGAAGCCAGGCTGGAGGTTGTGGCGAGGGGGACCAGGGCATGTGCTGAACCCGGCTGGCTTTGGTCACCTCGTCCACCCCATCACGAGCTGCTGCAGACCCTGGGCTCCCTGACAGCTCTTCCTGCAGTGGAAATCACCAGCATATGGCAATGGCACAGACAGCTTCTCCGTGCCCAGGAGCATCCCCCCGTCTGCTCCCTGACAGCCCTTTGCAGGGACTTTGCCTCCTCCCTGCCCCAGGAGCTGGGTGCCAGCAGCCACACAGAGCAGCCCTGTGGCTTGGGAGCCCCATGGAGCGAAGAGCTGGGGGTCTGAGCCCTCCTGGAGGTAGCCCCTTGATTCCCACGGCTTCACCTCCCCTGGCTGCTCCTGCCTTGGAGGGCACTGTCCCTTTTGTCTGTCATCCCTGGCTGTGTCCCCCCTTCCTGGACAGTGCTCCTGGTGCAGCCTCAGCCCCACATCCCTGCGGGTCCCAGTGGTGGCAGCTCAGGAGACCGGTTAAACTCCAGCTGCAGTGGAAGGAAGGTGAGGTCCAGCCAATCCCACTGCAGGGGCTGGGGACAGTGGGGCTAACCCTGAGCTGGGCACCACCTCTCCTCCCGTACAGACTCATTTCCAGCCCTTTTCCCCTTGGCTGCTGGGACAGCTGAGCTTTTCATGGCTGCTTCCAGCTGGGGTGGGACTGGGGCTGAGCTGATGCCAAACTTGTACAGGACCTGCAAGGGCAGCCAGCCTGGGCGGGGGCTGCCTCAGTCTCAAGCTCCTAAACCTCACCCTGGGAAACACAAAACCTCAGGGCAGAGGGAGATTCCCCCTTCACGCAGCCAGGGCAGAGCCTGATCAGGGTCATTTCCATCTCTTTATTTCTCACTCCCTTTCTGGCAGGGGTCTGTCCAGTGCCGCAGCCTCTGTCTGCAGCCACCGCTGGGTGAAGGCTGAGACACATCCAGGAGGACCCAGCCACTGCATCCCGGGGGCTGGAAGCAGATGGGCATCTCCTCCAAGCCCTCCTTGGTCCTCTGCAGGGCAGGGGCGATGCCAGGCGCCACGTTCTGGTGCAGCAGCTGTGTCATGCTCACCGTGAGCAAGCAGGTCCCCGGTGCGGCAGTGCGGTGGGGTCAGGGTGTGTGGTGGGAGCCAGGGGTCAGACCGCGGCGGTCGGGGCTGCCTCTGCCCACGGAGCTCTCACTCAGAGCCTCCGAGTCTCGGTCGTGGCTGGAAATGCTTTCGGCATCCTTGGGGTCCTTCTTCCCACTGTTCCTCACGGCCGCCTCCAGCGCCTTCTGCTTGCGGTAGAAGTGGGAAAACTTGTTGAAGATGATGGTGATGGGCAGCGCCACGACCAGGATACCCCCAAGGATGCAGCCTGAGGCGGCCAGCTTGCCTGCCACGGTGACGGGCACCACATCGCCATAGCCCACGGTGGTCATGCTGACCGTGCCCCACCACCAGCACGCTGGGATGGTGTCGAAGCCCACATCTTCCTCCTTCTCAGCCGTATAGGCCACACCAGAGAAGACAGAGACCCCCACGGCCAGGTAGAGCAGCAGGATGCCCACCTCCCGGTAGCTGTGCTGGAAGGCAAAGTAGATCAGCGGTCAGTGATGGTCGGGGGGGCACCACCCCTGTACCAGCCAGGACACTGGGATGCTGCAGTGCAAATATAGCCCTGCACATCCCCAGTGCCCCTGTCCACCTCTGCCATGGGATGACCCCTGGGGCTGGGCTAAGAGGGGTCGGGAGACTTGTGGGTGACCCATGTGAGTGGGGCATTGGGAAATCATCCCTGGCACCCACAGCCACCCTTCTGCCCTCCACAGCAGTGCTGGGAGGGAAAGGCAACCTTGTGCTTCCCAGCCAGGGCTCCCAGGCAGAGGCTACTGCCCCGTCCCAGCGCTGGCTCCAGCCTGATCTTGGCTAACAACGTTTGAACACATCGTCTTGTTATCTTGGTGGGTCCCCAGAAACTACCTCATGGACAGCCTCTAGGTGAAGCCAGGCCAGGCCAACCACACACCAGTGCCAAAACCACTGTCAGCCTCACAGCACGGCTGGTCCACTCACTTATCGATGGTCACAAGCACATTTCCTGAACGTTTCTGCCCGACAACCTGCCAGCTTCATTTTCATCTTCTGGGGAAAGGAAAGCAGAGCTCTGACAGGGTTTATTTTCTCCCAGTCTCCTAAGAGGCAGGGAATGCTTTATTGGAGACCACACGATGACTAAACGAAACAACATTTGAGCAAAGCAAACAGCAGAAGACGTGGGAAAAGAGCTTCCACGGTCAAGACGAGACATAAAAGAGGTGGATTCTCAGTAGGGAGCAGGAAGACTTCACTTTGACTGCTGGCAAAAGATGCTCAGCTATTGCCAGCTATACCGAGGGGAAATAATCTCCTCCTCCACCATCGCCTGTGGCTGCAGATGCACTATAGCAGCTCCAAGGGAGCTCCTCGTGAAGGACAAACAGCTCAGAGCCACCAAGTTTGTATCACTTGGCCATGAAAGCCTTGCTCCTGGCTGGAGCTTAACACACGTCTGTACATCCCAGCTGGGGAGCAGCAGAGACAAATAACCTGATGCATTTCTAAAGGATATCAGTTATGGCCCTGGGATGTGCTGGAGGGTGAAGGCGAAGGGGAAGTCAGGCACCCCAGTAGATCCTACTGCTTTAATTTACAAGCATAGGGGTGGCTCCAGGAATCCCCCAGCTGATCCTCAGGCACCTATTTGCAGCCAATTATCCTGGAAATGTGTGATTTGCCCATTGACCCAGGGGAAGGCAGCTGGGGCTCGGGTGGGAACGCACTTTTAGCCATGGTTTGGGTGGGATGCCTTGGGAGATGCCATGCTGGGCAATAAAAGGCTGCAGCAAAACAGCACCCTGGCAGTGGTCTCTTTGGGTTCCTGACTCAGTGTGAGGTTTGCTTGTCCTGGGACAGTCGGGGGCTGTGCGTGGGCTCCTTCCTCTGCTGAATGAACTTCTTTTCTCCAGTACAGCAGAAGACAAATGAGATGGAAGAGCACAGTCTGAGCCTGGCTGGAGACACCAGTGTGGGGACCAAGCACAGAGATGGCCCGTGGTAGCGACAGCAGGATGGTGCATCTGCCATCTGGGGACGTGCAGCTTTGCATCTTCCAATCTATTTGTGTGTTCAGGCCCCTGAGGGGACAGAGAACAACTCCTGTAGATCCCTGCAGATGCCTAAATTACTCAGGGCCTCACACCTATTGACTGCCAGTGGGAGATGGGCACCAAGCCCACACTGGGGAAGCTGCAATAATGGTAATGGATGTCGTGTATGGCAGGAGGGAAGAGGAGGGGGAAGCCTCTTCTCCAATTAAATAGACCCTGGATCAGGCCCCAGGCAATCTGAAGACCGTTCAGGGTTTACGATGCACAAATGGCAGAAATCCCTCTGCTAGCACTTTCGTGGTAGGGGAACAATTACTCAGCTTGCTAGAGCCATCGCTCCCACTTCCTGGCTGTTAACAGCCTTTACTCCTCTGCTGCTGCTTTACGCTCTGGCAAGAGGAAGTAAATTATGATTAACAAGATGTTGTAATTTATGTGCCCACTAAATCACAACGCCAAGCTGCTGCATCAGATTTGTGTCTTCACTCATCCCCGCTTACAGCCGGCTCCGGAGTCCCCAGGAAGCGGCACTTTGGAGCACGTCATTCGGTGAATCAGCGGCTCGGCAGAGGTCGGAGCCGGGATGCTGCTGGCTCCCTGGATCTCGTCTGCTGCTTAATATCATGCAGATGAGCCCATCAGTCCCTGCTCTGCTGCAATGTGCTGTTCACGCATAAGCGGAGCTCAGAAAGGGTTCAGGGAGCCCTTCCCAAGTGCACAATTTGGTTTGAATTTTGCAAGCAGCATTACCCGGGTCTGTCGCTGATTGCTCTTTCAAGGTGAGGTGAGTGTTCAGAAGCGCGACGCAGGTAGGACTTCAGGCATCCTCATTTTGAACAATGCTCCCTGGATGCTGTTTTCAGCAGGCTTTGAGGATGCCAGGAATTTTTTCCCTCTGCTTATTCTGATGCCCTGTGAGCTTTGCAAGGTTTGGGCTGGGCTGGTCCTGCTTTACAGCAGAAGTTGGCAGAAGAACTTTCCTGCTTGCTGCCCATCCCTAGCCACACTCCAGGGTTGCTTTTCTCCATGGCTTACACATGGGAATGGGTTCAACCCTAGCAGACAAGTCCTGTGCTGGTCCTGCTGTTGCTGCAGCAGCAAGAAATAGGGTGTCCCCCTTCATGCCTGCCCTTCAGAAGCAGCAACACCCAGGGCTGCCAGACATTAAGTGGGAGGAGAGGGTGCCTGCCACCCCAAGACACCCCCCAGAGCTGGCAGCTTATTGGGAATGAATCTATTCACATCCCCAGGCCATACTAGAAGTCTTCTCCTTGCCCAGAGACTAAAGGATTAAAAAGGAGACAAAAAGACATTTACCTTCAAGGTGGCTCCCAGTGACCTCAGGCCGGTGGAATGCCGAGCCAGCTTCAGCACCCGGAATATCCTCATGAGCCGAAAGACCTGCACAACCTTGCCCAGGTTGCCCAGCTCCGAGTCACTGCCCACGGTCAAGTCCACCAAGAGGGTGAAGTAGAAGGGCAACACCGAGACAATGTCAATCAGGTTCAGCGGGTGCTTGAAGAACTTCCTGGGGCTGGGGGAGAGCAGGAGGCGGGAAGACACTTCGAAGGTGAACCAGGAGATGCAGAAATACTCCAGCTTGTGCAGGATGGGTTCATCGAGCACATTGCCGCTCTCATCCACCTCCTGGTACTCGGGCATGCTGTGGATGCACATGGTGGCGATGGAAACCAGCACCACGCTGATGGACACGAAGCTGAAGAGTTTGCTGGGGATGGAGTAGCCGGGGTTCTCCATGGTGAGCCAGAGGCGCTTGCGCACGTTGCCGCAGCGCAGCGTGCTGTAGCGCAGCAGGTCGTGGTTGATGTCGGAGATCTCATCGGGGGACGTGTCCACGCTGCTGACCTCGCTCTCCTCGTCCCAGTTGTGGTGCCGGCTCTCCAGCTTGCGCTCGTGGTAGCGGTAGCTGCAGCAGGAGTCCAGGAAGAACTCATTGATGCCCCAGTACTCGATCTCCTGGCAGAAGGAGAAGACGCACAGCTCCTCCATGACGTGCAGCTTCCCCGTCTGGTAGAAGTGGAGCACGTAGAGGAAGAAGCCAGGGTTTCGATCAAAGTAGAACTCCCTGGCGCTCACGTCGTAGTCATCGCAGAGCTGCAGGATGGACTCCTCCGAGTCGCAGGAGAGCAGCCGGCCCAGGCGGGTGTTGGGGAACTTGGAGAGGGCGCTGGAGCTGAGCCGCCTTCTCAGGCCCCCCACGTTGATGTTGATAACGTCCTCCTCAAAACTGGGACCCCAGTAAGTTAAGGTCTTGTTGACCATGATCAGCAGAGCGGGAGCCGGTTCCACCTGCGGGTGAGACACAGCGGGGCTGGAGGGGACACAGGGCTCCCCACGAACCTGGTACTACAGGGTGGAGGGCAGAAGTACCCTGGGGAGTGAGGAGGGGTGTTTGAATGTTGAAAGGTGAGGACAAGGGAGAGGGGAGGGATGAGAAACAGCTTTGGGCAGTTAATCTTTGATGTGTATGGAAGGCAAAAGGAAAAAAAGCCACTGATTTTTCCAGGCGAAACCTTTCCTTAATTTTTACCTCTTAAAGTTTCTCCCTTCACAGATTGCTAATGGAAAGCAGCTTCCTGCACCCCCAGCACCTCATCATGGGGCTTTCCTTGTTCAAACAGGTAATTAGTCACTGAAGAGAGGATTTATCCCCCAGAGAGCCTCCCCCATGGAAAAACATCATCATCATCAAATCCCGACCGCAGTGATTCTGTCAAAGAGCTTTGTACCCCGACTCCTACATTGCTAATTAGACCTGGTCAAAAAATTCTTAGGTGGTGCAATCTTCCCAGCAGCAAAGGCAGTTTTGCTAAAATCAAAGTGTTTTCACAGAAGGTGTCACTTTTAGAGGGATTTTCAGTGAAAGAAGTGTCAAAACAATTCATCTGCCTGCTTTGTTTCCTCTTGCGTGCTCTGTCATGTAAAATATTAAGATTGTTTTAATCATGTTGAAACATAACAAAAACACGGTTCAGAATCATTGATGACTGAATTAAAAAATGGGTATATTGGTAGGGAAATAAACACCCAAGTTTTGCTTTCTGTTGTGTTTCAGGATTTTCAAAGTTTCAGGGGGCCAGGCTTTTCCCTGCAGCAGAAATCCCCTTTTTTAATGAGAAGCATCTGAAGCATCTAACAAAGAGAAGCATTCCCACACCTTCATATGCATTTACACCTCTCAACCAGAAGCTTAGAATAAAAAGGCAAATAAAAAGGTTTGCACCCATTTGAAATCAGACTTCTCCACCTACCTTATTTGTCAAAATGCCTGGGGAAACACAGAGCAGCCCCGTACCCACACGGTCCCTCTGCTCCTGGCACCAGCGTTCTGGGTGTCCTCTGGAAGGACGCTGCATTGGCTCTCTTGGTTGAGGGATTACAGTTTTTACCCACGCATCGATTAATTGGGAAGAACCCCCCTATCAGCATGACTTGCTCCTGAGCTCTGCCCTTCAGGGTCACTGCTGGTACCAACACGACTTTTGTAGTCAATGATGTTTTATGCTGCAGCAGTCACTGAGGTATTTGTGACCTCCAGACTGGCCTGTCTCCTGTCTCAAAGGCTTCCCTCCCTGGTTTTAATCAACCAGCATCTTAGGAAAATCCCTCACCTTCTCTGTCTTGTGTCACCCACTGAAGTCTTCAAACTTTTAGGTGCTGCAGGGATGGAGGCAGCAGGAGCCAAAGGAAGGGCTGCATCAGTCCTTATGGTGATGCTGACGTGCCACCAGAACCTACATGGGACAGGCTGCTCGGACAGCAGACACCAGGGTTGAACGCCACGTAAGTGATATGAGGTGGGTCCCCCTCACCCCGGTTCCCCTGCAGACCCCATTGCACCCCAGCCTGGCATTGCTCACTAGACATCTCACGGCATTTGGGGGCAGGAAAAGGGCTCTGCATGTTTTCCAGTGTCTGAGAGACACGGCATAAAAGGTTGTCAGACTGGGAGGGACCTGGGGTACCCTTCCACATCTAAATCTGGAGGTCAGAGCAGAGCTGGAGAGGGGCAGGTAACGGAGTAATGGTTAAATATAAACCCGAGAGGCACATTTTTAAGCTGAGCAGGGCTGTGGGTGCAGCAAATGCCAGATCTGTGTGAAATAGCCTGGCAAAGGCATTTGCTAACTCCGCTGCATCTCCCAGCCAGGGCTCCTTAAAGATACAGGCTTTGCACCACAAAGCCAGCACTTCCCACTACACCATGGCTGAAGGAGGCAACTGGGTTGTGGTAAGCCTCAGAGCTTAATGGACTCATTGTCTTGCCTTTCAAAGGAGAGGGGAAAAAAGAGAAGGATCAACTTTTTTTAATGGTTAAGACAAAAGCAAGGGAGAAAAAGGGGTGTAAACACTCCTTTTCAGGGACAAATTGGAATTTCTGTGACATAAGCTTTTCCAGGGAAGACATCACACAGCCCATCTGTGGGGTGGGGATGACTAATCCAGAATCCAGGTTCCTTCCAGAAGGATGCTCATGCATTCAGGCTACAAACACACACACAGGGGCTGTGCGGGTGGGTCTGTGGGATCCTGCTCATCCCACACCCATCCTCAGCCGCTCTTGCACCCTCCCTGTGGAGCAGCCGCTCTGGGAAACCAGGCCAAATGTCACTGTAATCAAAGGCAAGGTGGTCTTGGGGCTGGGCTGAGGCATGGAAGAGCCCAAGTGGCTACCAGGGGCTGCGCTGGGATGTCAGGACAAACCCAAAAGGATGCAGAACCATCCACAGTGCATGGCTGTGCTGTGGCACGGTGGCTCCAGATGGGATGTGCCAAACCCCAAGAGCCGGGAGGGAGATGCCTCGCAGCTCAAAAGAAAACCAGCAGGTGTCAGGCCTCTGTGAGCCTTTGTACCCAGGGAAATCCCTCCATCCCCCTCTGCATCCCACGCAGGAAGCAGCACGAGGAGAAGGGTCACGAACTGAGATGCTCCTTTCTGATGTTCGCTTCTGAATAGAGCAAATTTCTGCCCACATACAGCTTTCAAGTAGGAATCTAAAGCAGCAATTAATAGTTTTATAACTCTTTTGTCTACTTGTTTCATGACCAGCTTACTCAACTTTAGAACAATACCGGAGTTTGAACTAAGACCTGGCATCATCTCCGCTGTGGATCATCACAGCATGCACCCACCTTGCATTTGCAGCAGTATCTGCTGGGAAACAGAAGCTTACTTTGGGAAGGCTGGGTGGCTGTTTTACTTTAAAGCGCAATGGACAGAGAATACAAATGTGTCTGTCTGCGGTGATGGGAATTGGGAAAATTTCGCTTTTGTCAACCCCAAATTTCCATGAATGATTGGAAAAGAGAACAGAAGAGACCCAGTCTCTTTCTGGTCAATTTTGAAATACATTGTAAGCTATTTTAAAGAGACAACCATCAGAGTTACACAAGCCCAGTGAGAGCTGGGTGTTGGGTGTTCAAATGGATCTGTATCTCCTGGAGGAAGAAATCTCTGATGTATGCATTTATGACAGTGAAAATATAACAGATCAAGCATTTCTGTAAGAAATGCAAGAAGAGTTTCCCTTGACAACATAAATTTTCTTAAAGGCTTTCAAGTGGAAGTTAGGAGTATTTATTCTAACTGGCAGAGGGGAACCAGGGCAGCGGGAAGGAAGATGCTAATAGACATTCAAGTGAGGATGCAGCAAGTGCAGGGAGTATTGCACACTGGGCCTTTTCCAGCCAGGTACAATGGATTTAGATTAACGGTCCAAATAAGAAACCCTGTACTTACAGCTCAGCAAGGCTTCCCAGCCTTGTGGTTTGTCTCAAAGGAGCCATTAGAAATGCCTAGAGGAGGAGGAAACCCTTATCCTTTGTCTGTAGTGCCATCCTAAATGCTCTGTCACCCCGGTGACACCTGCATGTCCTGGGTGTGCAGGTGTTGTGGCTGCAAACCACTGCAGAAGTCCTGCATGGGATGCCCATGGGGATGGGATAGGTTTGGGGATCCCTTCCTGGGTACCTGATGGGGGGAGTGGGCTGGCTGACCTCCCAGCTGCTGCAGGATGGTATCCCTAGCAGCTATGTGATGGGTCAGGTCTGGAGAGACGCCTGCTTTCTGCTTATCCAGAAATGCCCCTGCAGAGCCCCGTCTCCATCACTGAGCAGCCCTGTACCCATCAGCCTGAAGATGCTCAGGACCAAGCCCTTGTTTTGGAGGTGAGCAGCTCTCCAAGCGGGCAGTAAGGAGCATGGAAGGGGAATTCCCATTGCTGGCTGCTCCCTGAAACAGAGCATAAGCTGCTGCTGTACACTGAGAAGCTAACACTGAGGGCTCTACACTGAGGGCTGGGGATGCAGCTGTCAGAGAGACTCCCTACTCGTTTCAGGGTGCAAGAGGGAGTCATTACCAACAGCTCGGTTTTCTCCTGCGAGCAGGCAGCCCAGGACCTGCTGCGGATGATGCCTTGTCCTGAGCCAGCCTCTGATTCCAGGTCTCTCTTAGCGGGTGCACAGCTCCCCGGGGGGACCCCCGCACCTAGCCCCGTTCCTCGGAGAGGACGAGGGGTGGCCCCTGTGATGAGGAGGCTTCAGGGAGAAGGACTCTCTTACCCCCGCCTGCAGAGGAGTGTACCTGCACAGAGGAGTATCCCTATGCCCCGCGTCCCAGCAGCATCCCGGCATGTGGGTGCAGCACGGCGGCTCTCTGCTCATTCCGGGATACCGGTGCTTCGCTTCCCCGCTCATCCCGGTGTGTCGCTTCCCCCATCCCTGCTCGCTCCGGCATGCCGCTGATTTCTCTGCTCTCTCACCCCGGGATGCCGGTGCACCGGGTGCCTGCCGAGCCCCAGGGTGCTGATCCCTGCAGTGCCCGGGGATGCTGGTACCCCGCGTTAGCGGGATGCCGGTGCCTCGCTCCGCGCTGGTCCCTGGGTTGCGGATCTCAAGGTCCCTGCCGCGCCCCGGGAAGCCGATATCCGAGTCCCCGCGATGCCGGTGGCTGCAGCACCCCGGGATGCCGGTTCCCCAGTCCCCCCCCTCCCTGGTGCCTGTGCCCGGGTCCCCGCGGTACCGGAGCCCGGCCCCGCGCCGCCGCTCACCTGCCTCGGCGCCGCTCCCGCCGCAGCGTGCGCGCCCGGCGCGGAGCCGAGGAGCCCTGCGGGGCCGGCGGCGGCGGTTGAAGCTCCGCGGGGCAGAAGGGGGGGTCCCCGTGCTCCCGCCCGCCCCGCCGCCCCTCCCGGGGGTGCCACCCTCCGGCCCGCCCGCCCGGAGCCGCGGGGAGGGGAAGCCGCTCCCATTCCCGGTCCCTCGGCAGCAAGGTGGGGCCGGAGCAGCGCGGTCCCCCCGGGGTAGCCCCCGAGCTCTGTGCAGGGATGCCCCGAGGGGAACCCGGGGCCAGGAGTGGGTACAGCCGCCACGATCGATGGCCTTACCTGGTGGAAGTGCCCTCCGCAGCCCGTGGGACGGCGGATGGGAGCCGCAGCGGGCTACAGGACTCACCAGCACCTTGCAAAGCTGCTCAAGGGGCAAGTGGGGCCCCGGGGGGCTGAGCAGTGTGATGGGCAGCGAGCAGAACCCGACCTGGCTGTCAGGCTGAGCAGGGCCCCAGTAGTAGTGGTGACACCTCGCATGTGGACAATGCACCTCTGCCCTTGCAGTCACCCTCCATGCAATCCAGCTCCATCTTTCTCCTTGGGATTGGGGGTACGTAGGGCACCGGGGGCAGCCACCCGGGGAAGAGCCCCCCTGGCTTGTTGAGCTCGCCGTTGGCTCTTGAAAGGCTCGTCAGGAGGTGGGTGAAGGCAGCAAGTCCTGGGCATGGCACACGCTGGGTTTCAGGTCACAGAGCTGCTGTCACCACCTGGAGCCATCCCCACACAGCCTGGCGACCGGTGCAAGCACACCAGCTCCCCCAGAAGTCAGCTGCGGGAGCAGGACGTGGAAGAGAGGATATGAGACCTTCCCGAGGTGATGGCTGGGGCTGCATGTCCTCACAGCGATGGCTCATGGCAACCGTGTCAGGCAGACAGCTCACGCGGAGTGAGACTTCACGCCACTCTCCTCATTGGATCCATCGGCTTGCTAATTCCAGCCCGAGGGGCTGGATGGAGCCTGTGGGCTCTCACCCTTCTCCAGGCTTGCCCGAGGCCAGCTGGGAGCACTTTTTAGTGGCCAGCATCTTTCCCCTGCCCGCACACCCGCCTCCTTCTGCCGCGTTCCCTGTGCCAGGCAGCTCTCTCCGCTGCGGGGCCATCAGCGTGTTTCCATGTGTGTGATGTGTCAGACTGTGTGTGCCGTGTGCTTGTTTACATGGGAAGGAGGCAGCGGAGGGAGGGGGAAGGGATGACTTTGAGGGAGGCCTCAGAAAAGAAAGAAAAAAAAACCAAACCGAGGAGGAAAAATAAAACAACCCTGGGGGAAATTCCTCTGTTCTGTGATATGAAGCAAAAAGCGTTTATTTTTATGGCAATTAGGGATGGCTGAGCATCCCTGGAAGCTGCAAGATAAACATGCCCGCCTTTGTCTGCTCGGGGCACTTGCCAGCCCAGCTCTCAGTGGGTGCTGAGGCCCAGGAGGGTGCAGCCCATGGGGAGGGCGGAGGACTGGCTCCCACATGGGGTTTTCTCTGCCTGCCACTGACATAAGGGGATCAGGGTGAATTTCCTTTTCCTTTCTAAAAACATTTCTCATCCATCCACTTTTTAGAGAAGGAGCAGTGCCCCGCACTGCAAGGGCCCCCACTCTGTCCAACACTTTGTCTCTGCACCAGAACCTCCTTTCTGCGCAGCCATAGGGCAGACCTGAGCCCTGTCCCCCCAAAACCAGCTCTCCCAGCACTGGGAGGTTTGCCAAGTGTCCCCTAGGCTGTGAGAAGGCACTGAAGCGTGAGCGGGAAGCGAGGCAGGACTCTGCCTGTAATGCCCCCAGGATGGAGGGGTCACCCCAGGAGGGGAGACACCTCTATGGCCCCTTCTGCAGCTCAAAGCCTCGGCTGCAGGAGAGCTAAATTCACCTTCCAGGCTACTGAGGCCCTGCATAGGCTTGTGCGGGCATCGCAGCATCCTTCAGGGGGGGACTTGACTGCAGCATCAGTGGCACCTGAGGTGAATTTCCCCTTTGCTGCTCAAACTCAGAAGCGAAAGGCCTGACTCTTCCATCAGCCAACCAGAGCTTGCTGGCCTGACACTGACACTGGCGAACTGTGGCAGGAAGAGGAGACTCCCATTTTAAGGCTCCTTCCCAGCAAACTGAGGTGCAAGGGCCCTTACACAGCGGGGTTTGCAGCCGTGCTGGCAGGGTGCAGCTCCTCACGGCACGGGCCAGCCCTGTGCATCCACCACCACTCCTCAACTAACTGGCAGTGATGTGAAGACAGGAACAGGCAGAAAATCAGGTCAACTGGAAGCACTTTGCCATCTCTTCCTTTCATGTCTGCCCCCATCTTCCTCTCCTGGGGAAGGCAGGTCTCCTGCCGCCGAAGCCTGGGGGGGATTTTGTCCATGACCGTACAGCAACAACACATGGATGGGAGGAGGAAACCTCTCACCATGGTCTCTTCTGCAGTCTGGAAGCAAATTGCAGAGGCAGGGTGAGTCTGAAGCCAGCAGCCATTTCAGTGCTGCAGTGAGTCATCCCAAAAGGCGCTCAGCTTGTGGCAGCTCCCTTCCTTTCTTCTTTCTGCCTTATTTTATTTAATAGGTGATGTAGCAATAAATTAAATAAATAGGGGAATGTACGTACAAATATAGCATGCCTGCAAGTTCCTTTAATTGAAAGAAAAATCTTCAAGCACTTTTCAGCCCCTTGGACATCCATTGTGAAAGGCCAGAGCTGCTGGGTATGTGCCACATAGGAGATGGGATGGAGAGAGATGAGTGCTGGCACACCTGCGAGTGCAGGGGGATCTGTGGAGCCAGATACCGACAGGGGCTGTTTAATGCCAGGGACATGGACACAAAGCATTTCACAAATAGTCCTTTCCAGAGAGAAAGAGCTAAATTAGGGCAGATGCAAAAGCCTGCTCTTGAGATTCGCACTGGCAAAGACTTAATACATGGGTTTTCCTTAATACTTTATTTTTCCCTGGTGGTTTCTGTGCTCGCTGATGTGTTTGTGCCCCCCAGGCCGCCCATGAGCTCTGGGAGGGGGTTGCTCTGGCTGGATGGGTTTGGGCTTCTCCTTCCCATGCTGTCAGCTGTCCCCGTGCAGCCTTGCCTCTCCCCAGAGCCAGCCAGCAGGATGATGGGGAGGGAAAGCTGAGCCATGGTGGCAGCATCCTCTGAGCAGGAGGAGGGGAGTAAGGACCATCAGCTCTGGGGCTGCCATCCCTACAATCACCATCTTCCTCCCCATCTTCATCCTCCATCTTCTTCCCCATCTTCATCCTCCCACACTCCATCATCCCATGGGGCAGATTGCTGATGCTGCAGCTGCATCAGCACCAAGTCCTGCTCCTTGGCCTGAAGTGTCCTGCCCATGCAGAGGTGGTGTCTGCAGGAGGAAGAGGAGGAGGAGAATGAAGGAAGCCAGCAAGCCCCTGAGCATCCTTCAGAGCCTGAAGACCCTCTGACATCAGGGCCCCTCTCACTGCCTCCAGCACTGCTCTAGCCTCCTGTAGGGGCCCAAAATACAGCACCCTTACAGCAATGGGTGAGCTTCTTCCCCTCACGTGAGTGTAATTCTGTCTATACTCACACTCCTGCCAGCACAGATGAAGCTGGAGGCAGAGCTGCAACAGGAGCCTGGTGCTCTCCAAGAACCTAAAGCCACTGGGGCACTTTTACTTGCAAAACAACAATAGTGACAATTCATCAGCAATTTATAGGTTTGGCTTGACATTTCTAGCTGTGTCACCACAGCTGGGCGGAGACTGAAGGGACCCAAACCCAGGGGACACTCTTTGTCCCCAGCTGTGGTGGAGAGGCAGAGCCCCAGGGCAGGTTTGCTGCTCTCACCAATGCCATCCCCTCATCTGTGCTTGCTATGGGATGGAAGTATCTTCAGGATCCACTGTCTCAGGGAAACAGCATCTTTATCCTGACCCTATTACTGCATGGCCCAAGGAAGGCTGTGAAGCTGTGGCAGGTAGCAGGGGTGTCTGATGGCTCCTTGGCCTCTTGTTAGATACTCCTCCACTGCTGCACAGAGAATCCCTGCTGTCTTCATGTCAGAGCACAGATTTGGGAATGCCAGCTATAGATTTTTCCCTGCCGTACAGCTGGCCTGGCATCTTGTCACTGTAGCTTTGAGGGTTTTTAACCAGGATTATTTGAGCAAGCAGCAGAGGAGCAGCCAGGGATGCAGAAAGAGACCTAAGGATGAGAGCTCGCTGGCTGGTTGGGAGAGACATGGGCCCTCATTCCTGCAACATACACATGGGATCCCAATCTTCATCACCTCCTTCCACCAACATTGCCATGTTGAGGGCACACATCACTCTCCCTTTGATTTACAGAGTTCAGGGCTTGCGTTTTTAGGTAGATTTGGGTACCCAGACAGGACATATCTACCTTCTTTCCAAAGTCTTGGAGCAGTGGAAGAAGCGTTTGTGTCCCAAGGAAATGCCCACTGGTGGCCAGCCTGTGCTGGAGCGCAGTGTGACACCCAGGCAGACACCCCGTTTTCCTGCAGCGTGGAAGCCTCCTGGTGATAAATTAGACCAACATTCTATTTTGAGTGGCCATAGCGCACGGAGCCAGGGATTCAGTACGTGAGACCCAAGAGCTGGCCCAGCCCCGTGCTGGAGACCAGGATTAATATGAAAAGCAGTCGTGCATCTCTGACTGTGCTCGGAGCAGCAGCAGGCTGCCCTGGGCTCATTAATGTGATGGAGTCACAGGAGCTCCTGAAGCAGAAAGGTATTTGGGCAATGGCCCACTGCGTGCTTTTGGTCTCTGCTCGGTCAGGCTCCAGTCGTGTTGGGACCCGGGTGTTTCTCTGATTAGTACCGTAGCCCTAATTTGTGCCTCGAAGGTCCAAACCTCTCCTTTTGCCTGCCTGTGCAAGAACACGACAGGGCGGTCTGTGATGCTGTGCTGCTTTTGCCCATCTCCCCCTGATTAATGTGAAACCCAGCTCCATGAATCATTCATGAAGCTTTATTTAGTATAATGATTTCTGACATCCAGTGCCTGGGAATAGCATTTTGGGACAGACCGCTTGCGACTGGCGAATGAGCTGACGTTTATCCCATCTGAACTGGGAACACACAGAAGGGGAGGGAGAGGGGCGAAGCAGCCGTGCCTCCTTCCGAGGGAATCACAGGTTGCTCTCTAATTAGCCAAACGTGTAAAAGCTAAATATTGACATAGCTTTGCACTTCCCTGTGTCTTGCAATCACATTGCATGTTATTAACCTACATAGTTGTTGGGGAAAGGAGCATCTGTGTGCGCCTTGGCACAGGCAGGGCTGAAGAGACAGGAATTTCCCTGTGTGATGCTGTTGGTGCTAACGAGGAGCCCATGTGGGGCCCAAAGGAGCTGGGAAATGACTTCCCCTCCTCAGCTGGAGCTGGGGAGTGGCTTGAGCTCATCTGGGCTGCCCTATAACATGAATAGCCCACCCTCTTCTTCCACAACACCTTGCTACGAGGAGGCAGTGGTTTCAGTGGGGAGGGTCTCTGCAGGTAAGTGGCCCCATTTGGAAGGGGATGTGTGGGTACCCTGATGGCTGTGCTGGTGGATTTGGGGGTGATGGTGAGTTTATGACCCTGACCTTGCCCAGAGCATGTGTGTGGGCCATGAGTTGGGAACTGTGTGTTAGTTTGGTGTGTGAGCAGGGACTATTGCAAGGCAGGTGCTTACAGAAGATGCTTTGGTTGCTTCTGGTTCTTTCCTCACTGTAAGCTGCTTTGTGTGAGTCTTCAAGTGCTTTGTCAGCCTTTGCTAGAGCTGTTCTTTGCTTAACATCCCAGCTGCTTGTCTGAATGAAGGCATCAGCCTGAAGAGAGGCTGCGGGTCTGGCCCTGGAGCTGAGCCTGCAAAGAGGGCATGGGAGAGGAGCCCGGCAGCCCTGCCTGTGCTGCTGCCCAGCCTCCTGCTGAGCTCTCACATATGCCTTCATACAGAGTGCCTTAGTGCAGATGGGAGATACTTCTGTCTTCTCTGCTCTCTTTCTGCATGGGCACAAGAGACTGCTGCCATGCAGGGATCTCCCTCAGCCCCAGGGTGCTGCCGGGCCTCATTTTAATGCCTTCCTTCCCTTTTGGGTCCCTGGCTCAGGAAACTCCTGCCAGTATCCAACAGGCTTCCTGGGTGTGCAGGCTTGTGCGGCTGCAGCGGAGAGCAGCCTGGTGAGGATTCCTGCTGGGATGAATAGGGATGGAGCCAAGCAGTTCGGCACAGCTCTGCTGGCTCTTGGCTGTCATGGGGCATGCAGAGCTGCTTCTGTGTCAGATCGACGGGCTTCA